TACCGCCTTCAAAACCGAGCTTTGAACTTTAAATAATTTTTTTTTTTTTTTACGGAAATTTTAGCGTTAATTACAAAAGATAAAATTAAATTTAATTTAACTTTGTCCACCGTTGTAGTGTGAATAACTTTGCGAAAAAATAATAATAATAATAATAATAATAATACGTGTAATTAAAACAAACAAGGCAATCGTTTGTTTTACTATATAACTCATAGGAAGTTTCCATGTTTCGTCACGATTATTAAGAAGAAAAAAAATTAAATTTAATTTAATTTAAATTTAAATTTAAAATATGAAAGAATTTTATTTATTTATTATTATTATTATTATTATTATTATTTCGCCGGTTAAAAAAAAAAACGTTAAAAAAATTCCGACTAATCGTGTAATTGATACCGATTTTATTTTAAATATCTTTATCTCTCTCCCTCTCTCTCTCTCTCTCTCTCTCTATCTCTCTCTTGATAAAAAAGAAATATTTATAATCACGTGTGTGACGTAATAAAAATAATAATGATAATCAATATGTAAACAAATAATACCAACAAATCGTTCGTAACCGCCATCACAATTTAAAACATCATCATCATCATTACCACCATCCCCATTAAAAATTTACCACGTGTTTTTTTTTTTTTTTTTAATTACCGGTTTGTGTGCGTGAGAGTGCGTGCGTGAGTGCGTGTTTATCGGAATCGGTAATTAGGATTTTTTTTTTTTTTAAATGCGGTTTTAATATTTAAAAAATTTTTTTTGTGTTTGTTGACCTAGAAAATATTATAAAAGGAAACAGATTATTTGAGTAATGGAAAAAGGTTGTTGGGGGAGATGAATGAAAGTTAACAAACAAAACTGATAATGTAACAAACAACATGTCTGACATAATAATTTTGATAATAATAATAATAATTATTATTATTTTACTCCTTCGTATGCGTGTGCGTTTAAATCAACAGGTAACAAATAATAAAATAGAGGAGGGATGTTATGATCTCTCTATCTCTCTCTCTCTCTCTCTCTCCCCTTCTCTCTTTCTCCCCTTCTCTCACTCTTCTATCTCTCTCTCTCTCTCTCCTTCTCTCACTCTTCTCTCTCTCTCTCTCTCTCACGCACACATAGACAGACATACAAACTTTTACCGATTTTATTATTTGACTTTATCTAACAAAAAACCAAATAAATGATTATTATTATTATTATTATTTATTTTTCAAACCATCCCTCCTATTTTTTTTATATTTTTTTTCAATCAATTTCCGGTTTTGTGTGTGACGTCATTTACTACTAAATTCAATTGATTCGTCCTTTGACTTTGGAATTTTCTATTTTTTTCTTTTTTGTTAGTTTTAGTATTTTATTCTTCATACGGTTCATTTTATTACTAAACTTTAGACTTGTTTTGTTTTGCGTGATCCGTCATTTATCTAGTGACACGAACAAAGTAAAAAAACCGTTTTTGGGTAAAAAAAAAAAAAAAAAAAAAAAAATTATTCATACGTTTCGGTCAACACAAAAATATTACTCAGTAATAAAATACAAAGTTCGGTGAAATTTTTTTTTTTTAACGTAACAGCAAAATTATATGTGTGCGTGAGTGTGTGGTTGTTGTTGTTGTCGTTGTCGTCGAGGTTGTCGTTTGTCGTTTGTCGATCTAAACAATTTTAATACGTTCTCGGTATTTTTATTATGTGATATATATATATATATATAAAAAGGTAAAATTATTAAATCGTTTTTTTTATTTTATGCCTGACTTTCATTTTTTTTTTTTTTTGGAATCAATGAAGTCATCGGATTATAATAAAATTTAACTATTATTTGCAACAAACGCAAAAATTATTTTTAAAAAAATTTTTAATGGCGCGAAAAAAAAAAAAAAAAAAGATGTCGTGGTATTTTTAAAATAAGTCATCGCTTAATTTCTTTATTACCCGTAAATTATTATTATTATTATTATTATTATTATTATTATTATTATTATTATTATTATTATTATTATTATTATTATTATTATTAGGGAAAAACAACGTCTTTTTCGTCTGCTTTAAATTTTCCAGTCGATTGTCACGGGGGGGGGGGAAAAAAACGGTTTTTGTGACGTCACACATTTCAAACGAAAATTTTTTTATCGAACCGTCGTTAAAAATTTAACCCGAGACGTTAAACAAAAATAATAATAATAATTTATCGATATATATATATATATATATTCTTTTAACAAATGACCTATTGACCTTTTACGCGCGAATTAATTTAACATCAAATATTTTTTTGGAAATTTCTAACTAACGTGACGTAAATACACGTCGCAAACACGTCGCAAATCAATTAATTATCGATTAGTTTTATCGATATTTAACTATCATCATTATTATCTCACACGCCTCGGATAAAATTTATAAATGATAATGATAATGATAATAATAATAATAAATTTTAACGGTTTTTTTTTTTTTTTTATTCTTCTCAAATTTTCGAAAGTTTACTGACTTTTATCTATAAATAATTAATAATGATAATAATAATGACGATTTTATGATTTCAATAAAATAAAAAAAAATTAATTATAGATTTTGTTTGTTGTTGTTGTTTCACATCGACAACAACAACAACAACAACTTTTACCTGATAATACAGGTATCGATACTATTATCATTATCATTATCAACGCGATCAAAAGAAAAAAAATTTTCCAATTCGGTACCTGAAAACTAACGTAATCGTTTTAATTCTTTTTTTTTTTT